GCCTGAGAATTAATAAAAAATATTCTCAACAAGATGGGACCACAGATCTACCTTCAAGGATTCCAGTAGCCTTTCGAAACAGATAGTAAAAGGTTAACAATCAGACGCTGAACCGCAACGTGACTTTGAGTTTAATCAAACATTCAGTTCACTTAACTGTTCTTACAGTAGATACATATGAGAAAAACACGTTACTATGTGAATGAATAAGAACAAATTTAAATGCTATATAAATAATAATATGTTTTTATATGGGAAATTAATGTAGACGGATAAAGCATAATGAAAAGGCAAAAACGAGAAAACTTTCTTAGCGGAACATAGCAACGATTATATCAATATATAACAAGAATGTGCCTAATAAGTCCACATGTGGAGCGAGAAAGTGTTCACTAAAGAATATAGAGTGTCTGTACATGGAGACTTAGATGACCTCAACAACAACTTTATTAAAGTTGTACAACCAAACTGTTATAAAGAGTGACTTACACAATAATCTGGAGCATTTTACTTCTATGGGTAAAACAGTTCCTGGTTGAAGTACTCCAGCTTGTCTGACCAAAAAACAGCACTTAGTGAATTAAATACTCTGTTAGTTCTAAATGATGTGCCTTCATCTTCTCTGCTTCAACTACGATAAATAAATATGTCGACAAATCTGTATGCAAAGCGAACGGCCCAACCAAAACGCATGAACAAGCACCACGAAACCGAATTTCATTACGAACGAACAGAGTCAATAGTTCTAATACTTCAACTTCGTTGACATTTATACGACGAGAAGCTAACTATGTTGAACCTGTTCCCCAAATCATCTTCAAATTAATCAAACCTTTTGTATCTGAAACGCCATCACTCTTTTTGTCTTTGAGAACACGGAGTCCACATGACATTTGAACAACGTTAACAAAGCCAAAATCGACTAAGTTTCAGACAGTTACAGGTTTTTCTATCGAAACTTCAACAGGTGAAACTTATCTTTTTATAAGGTTTCTACAGATCCTTTGGTGGTTCGCCAAATAATAAACTATGGAGTTTCTATGAGTTATTGCCATTAATAAACAATTTTACTACTTTTATTTTTTTTCTTGTCTCAATTCAACCACGATAAGATTGAACTGAGAAGTAAAGTCAACGATCCAAAAGAATGGACGAATAAGTGCCACGAATCCAATACTTGTATGAATGGACTAACACCAAAGTTTCAACACACTAGCTTCATTAAGTAATATCAAAATGATAAATATCCTGAGGTCTTCTTAGCCATCAATCTGATGTTTTTAAGTAAGATACGATATAATTACCATTATTTGGATATCTGTAGGTTCAGTTCCCAGTTAAAATGAAATTAAGACTTAATTTAACAAATAGGATGGGTAAATATGTTATATGATTTGCGATATGGTTGCTTATGCCCGATGTACTTCGAAAAACAGACTAACACACTGTGTACTATGGAATGAAATTATAACGTTTTAGGTATATGGTTTTGAGTCGATGGATGTGTTATGTCCTTAGCTATATGATTATTGCGAAATACTATTGCCAGTTTAGATTCGTTGACTTATACAAGCGAACTAATGACTCATACACCAGTACGGGCACTCTACAGTTCCGATTGGTCGTTTTTCCGCCTAGCCCTGCCTGTTAAGTCCAGAACGCCAATCTGAGCTTCCATTATATCGAATCTTATATTTCCAGCATACTTGGTGTATATACAAGCAAAATGAGGCCACATCATACCATAGTGTAAAAAATAACATTTATACAAGATCAAGCCAAAAGTGGCTGTGATTGTCAGAAACTGTGACTAGTAGATTGAGAATAAATTGAGAATAGTAAATCATGTAACAATAACCAATAGACCAAATAAAAGCTTATAACGAAAGGAATCTGAATATACATATAATTACTTGATAGTCATACAATAAGAATATTCGTTAATATTAGTCGATAAATAATTACTAGCCGTTACCATTCATTTATTCTCGTCTGGATATAACAGCATGTGTACATTAAAAGCCAGGATCAAACGCCACACTAATTTATGCCATGAGATATACATTTGTATTGGTTACGTGATTTTTCTATTAGATTAGAATTATAGAAAGCCAGGATAACAGATTCTTAATTAATCGCCCAATCTAGATTTATCGGCTCCCACTAAGGATCCGACTGTGTTAAGAAGTACCCAATTAAATTTCCACCCCAATCATTATGATTCCTTTTTGAATTATATGTAACAGTGACATCCACGATTGATTTACAAATCTGACGGTAGTTTAAATATGGTTAGGCCATATAGCCCAATTTGTTTGGATAGTCATAAATAATTCCATAAAAAAGTCAATATCACCCACAAAATCTTTCAAAGTAGGAGTATTCATGTCCAAATTGAGAACAAAATAAAGTCCAATTAGTTATTATTGATAATTGAACCAGAACAAATGGACAAATAATGACATAGAAAGCGATAAAGATTATTTGATTATGATTGTTTAAATTAATAGTAATAAGAAGAACAGATATCATTTATACTTTTATTGGCTATTCTTGTTGACTCGGAGTTCCAACCATAAATTTTAAAATCACCAGACATAAAACTAACTACAAATAGGACCACAAATATAGAGATGTTGTCTCTAACAGATGAGAAGTTAGTATGATTTGTGGTGGATCAAAGTGTAAATATTTTGACAATAGTAATATTATCTGAAAGCAAACATATAAAAATGATCCAATTTAAGCTAGACCACCATGGAAAACCTGGAAGCACTGGATGGCCATTTCGTTCTATTGTGGGACTCCTCAACAGTGTTCATTCACGATCCCGCCTTGCGAGACTCGAACACAAGAATTATCATTTTAACACGTGAACGCTTAACCACTAGAAAACTGAGTCGACATCCATCAGTGTTAATGTCTAACTTCAACTAATCCACGAAATTGAGTGACACATTCATCATTGTCTTCAGTGAGTTACTATCTCACAACAGACTCAGTTGAACTCCACTAGTCACTGCTTCCAACCAGAACTAGCTTCAATCGACTCATGAATTGAACTATTAAATTACTATAATATCCACAAAACCCCTTCTGATATAAAAATGAATTGATGATATATAAAAAGAATATATATCTCTATATGTAGGTTATACAAAAGTTATTTGCAAATTATCATTAGAGCTTAAAAGTAAGGTCATAATTGTAATAAACAATTGATGGTTCCCAAATGCTGGATATACTCTGAAATAATGATGCATGATTGACTGAATGATATTGAAAGTCATAATCTATAAATATATGTAACGGTTATATTAATAAAATGTGTTATATGACAACGAATCGAGAGATGAAACGAGATGCTGCTATACTCCGGTCACGAAGGGGAAAATACTCCACACACTAAGGGAGTTGCTCTGATGCTGTCCAAAAAATTGCAAAATGCGCTTATAGGATGGTAATCTCATGGATTTAGAATACTCAAAGTATCCTTCAAAATAAAGAAGAACAGAATCACAATGAATGTTATTCAGTGTTATGCACCCATCTATGATAGCAACAAAGACGAGAAATGTCAATTCTATGAGAGGCTGCAATTAATCATAGCGTAGTGTTCAGGAAGCAACCTGACCATCCCGATGAGAGACCTAAACGCCAAAGTCGGAGTAGACAACACTGGGTATAAAGATATCATAGGACGACATGGACTGGGGATGTGTCGCTCAATTTCGTGGATTAGTTGAAGTTAGATATTAACACCGTTGGATGCCAGCCGGCTCAGTGGTCTAGAGGTTAAGCGTTCGAGCGCGAAACTGACAGGTACTGGGTTCGAATCTCACAAGGCGGGATGGTGGATGCACATTGCTGAGGAGTCCCACAATAGAACGAAACGACCGTCTAGGTTTTCCATCGTGATCTAGCTTCAATTGACTCATAATCTTAACTCTTGAAATTATTACAATCTTCACAAAACTTCTGATACTAAACCAAAAATCATAATTATTATTTAATATCATCCTTAAAATCTATTTGAAATTATCACAAATTTCTTTTAAATAAGGATATAACTCATTTGAAAACACAATTGTTTGCTTGTTTATTTTTCCTAAATTAACCAATTCTATCTATAAAAATAAGATTAGTGTTTAATTAATCTTAAGGAGAAGAAAAGAAAAATAGAAATAAATAAATGGTTTAATAATTAAAATAACCCATAGTATCATTGTGAATAAGAAAAAGAGAAGTCAACGAGGAAAATTGTCTTTTCGACGGATTCATTTACTTGAGCTATACATTCGTATATATAGTTATATATGGAAAATATATGTCTATAGGAAGATAGAAAAAATTTTGCATCATAAAAATGGATTCGAGAATAAATAACAAATGAGGTTACGTATTGAGATTTAGATGGTGGTTGGAGGTAGTCAACAGGAAACCCTGGACCCGGGTTTCGTGCTACTTGGCACCCGTCAGCAAGGTGTACCTGTAATGTTGAGGGAACTGGTGCTCCCTGGCGGATTCGATCTCGTGTCACCCAGCTTCACAGTCAGAGACGTTGCCACTGAGCTATCCGAGCCGTGACTAACCTCCTGTAGGACTGAGATGTAATCACAATTGATTGATCACTGGGTGATGATCGATAGCATTCGATCTGCACTAATAAGGACTAGACAAGCATGACATTGATCACCACCCAGTGATCAATCAATTGTGAGGTTACGTATTAAATCATAACTATGAATATATATATTCAATGATGTAAATAACAACCAATCAGATTACAATTCTCTTCTCCCTCCCTCCCTCCCTCCCTCTCTCTCTTTCTTTCTCACATTATGAAAGAAAAAAAAACTGATTGGTTAATTGATTTGATTAAAAAGAAAATCTAAAATGAGAAAAGTTTATTACTATTTGAATTGTTTATTTATTTATTTAGTATCCTTTTCCCCCCTTTCAGTATTAGTTAGTCATTATTAATTTCAATTGTGATAATAATGAATTCATTTATGATTTCTTCCATTATGAATTCAAATACAAATGAAATTTATAATATAAATAATAAATATTGGAATATATTAAATTTATCTAATTTTATATTAAATAATGAACAATTAAATAATACAATTATCAATAATAATTATAAATTAAATTTAAAACAAAATCTTAATTTATTTAATCAAATAAATGATGGTGAATTCATTTTAAATTATCAAAATTATTTAAATTTATTTATAAATCAATATAAACAAAATGATTTATTATGTAATAAATCAATAATCAATCATCAATTATTATGTAATAAAAATATATATACAATAGAAAAATTGAATAATAATAATAATAATAATAATGAAATCAATATAAATAAAGAATATTTGGATAGAGGTAAGTGTATTGAATAATATTGATATGATTAATTTTCTTGAAATTGATCGAAATGAACTTAATCTAATGAATGAATCAAATGAAAAATAAATCATATATGTGGATATATGTATGAGTAGGTGAATGTATGTTACAACCGAGAATAGTCAGTTGAAAATGTTTTTTTTTTCTCTCTCTCTCTTTCTAAAATCATTGAATTTTAAAATGTGGATCATTTATGGTACTCGATGTGATAGATGATGTTAATGATTTTACCTCTATGTATGTATATTATAGATCGTTGGTGTTGGAAGAATTTTTTTAGTCAGAATGAAAACATGTATTATACAATGATTTTTAGTAATCTATATTTGTTGTTGTGAGATAGTAACTCACTGAAGACAATGGTGGATGTGTCACTCAATTTCGTGAATTAGTTGAATTTAGACATTAACACCGTTGGATACCGGCTCAGTGGTCTAATGGTTAAGTCCTCGCGCGCGAAACCAGTACGTCCTGGTTTCAAATCTCGCAGTGGGCGAGGTCGTGGATGCGCACTGCTGAGGAGTCCCACAGTAGGACGAGACGGCCGTCCAGTGCTTCCAGGTGCCCCATGGTGGTCTAGCTTCAACTGACTCATGATCTCAACCATTGAAATTATTATAATATCCACAAAACCCATCTGATATTCTACATTTCTTCAATTATTGTAGAGCTAGTGACGAAAATGATCTAAAAATCGGAATTTTCTCAGAATTCTTTAAAGATTAGTTTGGATTATTTAAAATGATATTTACTTAACTGATTACTAGATTATCTTATATTTCGTCAATGATTTGCACTAGAATGAAATTTCATATTATTATGCTTCAGGAACCGACCTCAGAAATCGAATATTAAACCTGTAGTTAGGATCTAGTAACTTGTCTTTCTAACTTTCAATCAACTTAAAATATTCCGCAACTATCAACGCGGTTATTTAGTAATTTCGACAAACCTATCTATAATATAAAAAGAAGCAGAAATCAGTGAGATTACATATTCTATCTAATTTGCTGTTCGATGAGACGAAACTATATTTTAAAACTTCGTTTTTTATCATATACTGAAGTCATTTGAATAATTTGATGATGCTTCCTAAAGTAGGATTCTGTCCTCGGTAAAATAACCATGTAATCACTTAGCCAAGTGAAATTAAACTTTATTATACCATTTCGAATGTTACACATTTTATGTTCATTACCAGTAAACTATTCCTTTATGCTAAGAATAATCAGTCTGCACGAATAACTCAATTTTCTTTTTAGAATAAAGATCATGTTTTATTCAGATTAGTGAAATATTTTATTTATCTAAATAAGTTAATAAGTAATATTTGTTCTGACTGTCAACGTTGTTGATATACTAGATAAAAATAACTCTGCTTTTTAATTTATTATATACACCCACCCCCACATCAGTGGACACTTTCTCACATCTTTTTCCTTTGTACTCCACAAACCTGTCGTCGAACAATATTAATATTTTAAAGAATTATGTAACCGATTATCGTTGTTTAAAAATGAATATGAAAGTTAATATTTACAATTGATTAATCATCGAGTGGTGACCAATGTCATGGGTGTCATGTCCTTGTTAGTGCAGATCGAATTCTATCGACCAAGTTGCAATATAGTTGCTAGTCTAGGTGACTTCATCATCATCATCATGTGCACTATGTTGAGATGTAAGGTGGAAGTTGAATATAATGAACAACCACTAACTTACATAAAACCCAATAATTTGTGCAATCATTACCTTTTTTAATAACAATGAGCTCAAGGAATCCCGTTTGCATTCAACTTCAAACTTAGTTAAAAGTCAGAAACAATTTGTTTTCCAACATTCTATATCTTCATATGTTTAGCGTGAAATAAATACATGAATTCTAATAAATTTATCTTTCGTTTCTCCCAGGCGGTAAATGATAAGTAGAATATGTCAACAAATGTAATGCTTCAATATTTTACATCTCAGTAATTTGTAAGCCTTTCATAATATCATATAGTCGTCCACAATTAAAATTCATAATTATTCAATTTGAACAAGTCCAACTCGGGAATGTTTATTGTACATGATAATGATCATGTTCATGATCTCAATCAAAAACTTAATAATCTCCGCAACGCTCTCTACGGATAATTACCATGTGCTCACTAGTGACTAGCTTCGTGAGGGACTTTTCGAAGTTCTAATGAGAAGCCATGAAGAGTGGAGCTAATCCATATCGGGTAGAGACAAGTATCTATCTCAGTATAATGGAAGATGATCGCGCAATTTCATGGATTGGTTGAGATTAAACATTAACACCATTGGATGCCGACTCGATGATCCAGTAATTTAAGCGTTCTTGCGCGAGACTGCTAGATCCTGAGTTCGAATACCGCCAGCGAGTTCGTTGATTCGCACTGCTAAGGAGTCTCACAATAGAATGAAACGGCCTCCTAGTGCTTCTAGGTTTTCCATAGTGGTCTAGTTTCAAATGACTCATGATTTCAACTATTGAAACTACTAATATCTCTACAAAACTCCTTCTGATAACAATTTATTTATATTAATTTTATTTTAATTTTACAGATTTAAATAGATTTCAATCAACATCTAACTTATCTAATTTTATTGATTCATCTTCTGAGTTATCATTAAATAATCATGATCAAAATTATAATAATAATAATAATAATGAATATTTAAATAATAAACAGAATGATTTAAATCAATTAAAGAAAATCAATAAACAAAATAATCATCATAATCATAATTATTCTAGAAATCGTACAGCATTTACAGATTATCAATTAATTTGTTTAGAACGTGAATTTTCTCACATTCAATATTTATCACGTATTGATCGTATTCATTTAGCGCAAAATTTAAATTTAACTGAAAAACAAGTTAAAATATGGTTTCAAAATCGTCGTGTACGTTGGAGAAAAAGAAATTCATTATAAATTTGAAAGAATTAATAGAAAAGAAATTCATAAACTCTGGCACTTTTTTTCGCTTCTTTTTTCTTCTTCTTCTTCTTGTTCTTCTTCTTTTATTTTTGTTTTTGTTTTTAATATTTTCTATCTTTTTCTTTTTTCAATTGTCAATAATGATGAACACGTATATTGAAATGAATTTTATAATAAATTTTGATTGTATCAAGGAATAATGATTAATTATTGTTTATTTTTGTAATAAACGTTGATGTTATACTTTTTCTAGGAATAAATTTTGAAGAAAATTGCTTGATATTGACTTTTTTTTCTTCTTTAGAAAAAAAGTTGTAGAGAAGTGAATTCAATGGAATGTACTTCGAAATTTTGTATATACACTTGTGATGATATCTGATTTAGTCAATGTTAAACGCTTTCTAACCTTTAATTAAAGCACTGATGTAAAAATGAGGATGTACAGAAAGCTTTATGTCAAAAATCGAGTGAATTTGTAGAGAATTCATTTGTTCGGATATAGATTAAACTGAAGTGATCTAGGAGAAAAAAGAAACTATATGGCCAACAATCTTACGTAGATGAATTACTTGCCAACATAAAACAGCTTAGTCATTCTTGTATTTTACACTTTTATGTGACTTTGAGATAGCATGTGATTTGTCTAAAATCGTCTGGTTTATCATCTCTTGATTGATAATACTGATTAGACGCATTAATAAGTTACTTAAAATTCTTTGGATTTTTGAGGAAAAGTTTAAAGGCATATAAGATGTTTACTTGTTGTGTTACATTCATCTATATGAGACTATCCCTTTCTCAGTTATCTTAGGTCAGTCCACAGAAAAATCAAGTTATTAAACATTGTTCACAAAATCTATGTCAATATGACAATCATATACTCATTAGTTGGTAGCTAAGATATTTTATTGAAAAGCTATGATTGGCACAATTCAACCATGTACGACCAGTGGAGTTCAATCCGTGTCGTGTAGAGTCATTTATCTACCTCAGACAATGGATGAATTGTTGCGCAAGATCATGGATCGATTGAAGTTAGACATTAACACCTTTGAGTTTCGGCTCAGTGGTCTAGAGGTTAAGCGTTTGCACGCGAAACTGAAGGCCTAGGGTTCGAGTCCCTCATGTAGAATTGTGGATGCGCACTACTGAGAAGTCCTATACTAGGACGAAACAGCCGTTCAGCGGTTCCGAGTTTTGCTTGGTGGTCTAGCATAGATCGACTCATAAGTTCAACCATTAAAATGACTACAATCACAAAACCCTATTATGATGTGGGAAATAAGACAACTGTCAATGTTTCCAATGTATGACCTCTGTATTATCAAGTGAATCTCTTGACGTTGGAAATAGGATTACGACTCAATGTACTCGATGGCGAAAATATACAGGTGATTGGCTTATCTGGGGTGAATAATACTAAGGAGTCACAGAATTGAATGAAATCGGTATTCATTGCTTCTTAATCTTCAACAGCTTTTCAAAGGATATCAATGTGTAAAGAGAATTCATTTTGAAAATTAAAAAAGTTCTGTACAATTTTCTTATTATCAATAATGAAAACACGGTATACTACATGGATCTAATCTCCAAAATAAAATCACCCTGTAGGCATTTTTATTCTTTGCAAATAGCAAAAGAAACACTAACATATTTCTCCGTACGTAACTAAATTTACTGTAGAATTAAAATGCTAATACAATGGGTTAATTCATATGTGAATATCTTTGCATTAGGTGATATGTGTGTGTGTGAAAATGATCATTTTTATTACAAGTAAACAAATTACAAATAAAAGCAATAATAAAACAATCGAGTTTTCATGTTACTTTCCATTGTAACTAATCCGGTCATTCTATTTCCTCACCTACCCCCCCCTGAACCATTACTGTCCGGATCATGAAACTAAACTTCTATGACTAAGTTTTCTTATTTTTTTTTAGTGATCATCAAAGCAAAGAAATTTAACATAGATGAAAGTAAATAGAGCAAGAACAAACATTGATAGAAGTTAAGAAGAAACCGAGAAAATACGCTCCCTTCACTATACTTCAATAAAAATTTGAAAAAAAAATCGCTTGAAAAAGTAAGTACAAAGGGAACTCACTAAAAAAAAATTTTTTTTTAATAAATAAAAAGCTGAAAAGAATCATTGAAATAGACAAATATCATAATTGGATGACTAAACAAATGCGTAGGTGGATTCATACAGACGGGTATGTATGTGTGTATATGTGTGTTCGTCTATGTGTAGAATTAAATAGACATCATCATTTGATTGGTTGACAACTATTAATATGAATTCAGTAGTTCACTTATGATCCAACTATAAAAATGTGTAAATAAGTTAGTGTTTATTCATTTATTGTTTCTTTAGTGATATTTCAAGTGAAATGGATTATTAAAAAAAATAATAATAATACAAAACAACTACTAAATCGTATATCCATTTTCTTTTTTAAAATCAATAGATCGCCTATTATAGCTAAAGATATGACGAGAGAATACTTTTTTTGGTATATTTAGTAACCAAGTCTTTGTAAATAGTGATAGAAACTTAAAGAGGAAATACCTATGATACTGGTAAATAATAAACATTGAATCAATGAATGAAATTATTAAACAAATAATTTTGTTTTCATTACTTTTTCTCTTTTTTTTGAATCATTTATTTCTATGGTTAAACACATTTTCAATATGGTTACAATAAACATTGAACAATAAGACAAGTTTATAGTTAGTTGAGGAAGAGAATACAGGAAAATTCATAACTTTCTGTATGTATACAAGAACTATATGCAGATAATTGTTTTATTAAATAATAATAATAATAATATAATAATGATAATTTCACAATCTTTCGGAATAAATCATCTTCGAATTGTTTAGTTAACTAACAAACTTTTTAGTGGGAATTTAAAACTTTCTTGAAATGATCAACACCTTTTAGATTGATGTAAAAAAACAACACAAGTATGTAAAACACACTTAAAGTAAGCTGATGATTGGAGGTGGTCGATAAGAAACCCTAGACCTAGGTTTACTGCTACTTGGTATTCATCATTAAGGTGTACCTGTAATCTTGAGAAAACTGATGCACTCTAGAGGATTCAATCTTGTTTCACCCAGCTTCAAAGTTCTCAACAGTATCATTGAGTCATTTGGATTGAGGTTGGCCTTCTGTAGGAATGAGATGTTTTTACAATTGACTAATCACTGGGTAGTGACAAATCCTTGTTAGTACTAATCGAATTCTATTGATCAAGTTGAAATGTGGCCACTAACTGACTTGAGATCATGTGCAGCATATTGAGATGTAAGGTGATGAATGACGGCATATAACATTGGTTACAACTCAGAGAACATTTACATTTCTATATTGCTCACCAAGTTTATGAATTATAATAAATGTAAGTGATGATAATTGCTTGTAAAATATAATATTAATGACTTTATTATCATAACAAGAGTATGAATAAATTCAATGTAAGTTCTAGTGTGCATGATATAAAATGTTACAGATTATTGAAGATATCTCTCTTATCTTTAATGAAAAATTGAATTTGTTTTAGAACAAATACGAACTTTAAATAGATACTAGATCCTATTTCTATCTATCTATTCTTTCAAATTCATTCATTACACTAACTAATCAGTTATGTAATCATTTATTCCGTATCATAAAATTCACATGATCACTTCTCTTTAATATATGAATTATATTGTGTTATGATTTATTGTTAATATTCATGGGACAATATCACCAATTAGAACACCAACCTATATGCTCTTGGCCCTGTGTCAAACCAATGTCACGTTAACTAGCACGAGAAACCTAGTTAATTATTAGTTCTTCCAACCTAACCCTGCCAATTGAGTCTAAAACACAAAGCTCAGCTTCCACTGTATGAATCATGTATTTCAAACAAACTCAGTTTATATACAAGCAAATCAAACCTCATCATACCATAAAATAGAAAATAACAATTATACATGATCAAGTCAAAAAGTGGCTATGAATGTGAGATACTGTAACTAATAGACTGAGAATGAATTAAAAATAGTAAATCGAATAATAATAATAGTCAGTAGGTCAAATGAAAGCTTATGATAAAAGAAATACGAATATACATATAATCTAGTTACTTAATACTCATCCAATAAGAGTATATGTAATATTAGTTCATAAATCATTCCTAACAGTTACCATTCATTTATTCTTTGTTAGGATATAACAAATTGATTGAAACAACTCATTCTGCTTTTTTTTATGATGATATCTTCATACTTACGTCAATTCATGTTTATATACATAAAAGGATCTCTTTTGAACAAATTTATTATCATGTTATATAATATATACGATGTATTACAAATGATATATATTCATTTGAGTACTTCCCCTAATTCACTATACAACCATATCTGATTTATTTCTATTCTTTATCACTATTACTAGTTATTATCATATCAGTTGAATAATCAAAGATGATGATGGAAATACAATGAATTTTTCTTTTCACCTTAATCATATTAATCCGTTAATTAAATACTCTTTTTTTTTCTCTTTTTTTTTAAAGACGATCACATCGATAATTAGTAATATATGAACATGGATTCATAAATTGATCAAAGTTATTTTTCTAGTTTAATGATTTCCAAATGGAAAATAAATAAACAATCACTTTTTCTTATATCAATGTATTAAAATAAATAGGGATAGTTTTGATACACTTGAAAATTCATTCATTCATGTTTAAATGTTGTCTTTTTTGTCTTGTTTGGTTGTTGTTATTGTTTTAAGTTATGCATAGAAATACTCATGTATGTGCATGTGTGTGTGTATGTGTGCTCATGTGTATTTAATGATCTATTCAATTTAATACACATTGTAAACACTTTCTATTGGATTGAATTTGAAACTTTCAAATTACTTATCAAACGCAAATATCTTTCGATAGTTGAGATCATATGTCAATTGAAGCTAGATCATGATGGAAAAACTGGTAGCACTGAATAGCCGTTTCGTTCTATTATGGGATTTCTCAGTAGTGTGCATCCACGATTCAGCCTCTCGAGATTCGAACCAGGAACTGTCAATCTTGCGCTCGGACGCTTAATCTCTAGACCATTAAGCTGG